TCTGAGCCAGGACAGGGTGCAGCTGCTCCAGGTGCCGTGGCCCAGGGTCTCCCCGGCTGCAGTCGGCATGCTGGCCTGCGCTGCGGTCTCTTCCCAACGGGGGACGCGCTGGGACAGCATTCAGTTCTTCGTGGGTTTTTGGACCGAGGGCTTCTGCATCCTGCACGCTGCTACCCAGAGCCCACGTTTGGTTCCTGGCCCCGCAGGCCTCTCTGTAGAGCCATTCACAGCACGGCAGCCAGTGAGTGGGAGCCAGAGGGAGTGAGGCGGCAGCAGCGCGTCTCTGTAACTCAGCGCCCGCAGGGCAGCCCAGGGTCCTGTCCATGGAGGTCCCTGTGCCCAGCCCACACCCAGAGGAGCGGCTGCAGTGGGCATGAGTGCAGGGGTGAAGATCCTCAGGAGCCGCTGTGAAAGCTGCTGTCTCAGTTTGGGCTGCTGCAACCAAAACACCACACTCTGGGGGAGTTTCAGACAACAGCGGCTGGCTTCTCTCAGTCTGGAGGCTGGGACGTCTGAGCTCAGGGTGCCAGCGTGGTCCTGTTCTGGCGAGACCCCGTCCTGGGTAACCGACTGCTTGCTGCATGCTCCTGGGAGGAGGAGCAGGTTCTGGTCTCGCTCTTCTCAAAAGGACGCTGATCTCATGGTGTGGCCACGCCTGTGACTGCATCTGAGCCTCATCACTCCAGTCCCAGTCCCTGGTCCCAGCCTGTGGCGGTGGGGGCTTCAGCACAGGAGTTTGGGGGATGCAGTCTTGCAGTCCATAGCAGCTGTCGACCGCAGTCCCCCTCGCACACGATTTTAATTGAGATAGGAGTTCTTCATATACCGAACAAGAGCCCCTTATCAAATACATTTTCTTTATTCTGTGGGTTGTCTCTTTGCTTTCTTGATGTTTTCAACGCAAAAATTTAAAATTTTTATGGAGCCAACTTATCTACATTGTATTCTGTTGAATGTACTTTATTAGGAGTTCTGCCCAGTGTCATGGGTTTGCTCCTGTGTCCTGAGAGGTCACTGCCGTGGCTGTGATCCGTTTGAGCCTGTGTGTGGTGTGAGCTGGGGAGCCCGCCTCATTCCTCTGTGGGTGCGTGTCCAGGTGTCCTTTCCCCGTGTGTGATCCATTCGCATGGAGTGCCTTTCCGTTTACTTAGCTCGTTAATTTGTCAGCAGTGTTCTGTGGCTTTCAGCGCACAAGCCCTTCACTGCTTTGTTACATTTTACCCGTGTGTTTTGCTCTTTCCCGTCCTGTTGTGAATGGGGCCGCTTCCGCGCTCGCAGGCTTGGCTGGGTGTGCCGACCCTGTGCCGGCAGCTCGCCCCGGTGTGGGGTGGCAGTCTCTGTGATGGGGCCTGCGTATCGTCTGTGCAGCCATGTGTTCTGCACGTGGACGTGGCTTCCCTTTGGTCTTTTCGGCCTGGACCCCTTTTGTTCCACTTTCTTGCCTGACTGCCTGGCCAGACCCTCCCCGGACAGCAGCAGCAGCCTTGCCGCGCTCTGGCCTTCAGAGGTGCTTTCCGTCCATGGCGTTGAGTGTGGTGCTGGCTGTGCGTCTTTACTGGGCTGGCCCTCCTCATAGCCTGAGTGTTCTTAATCCTCCGAAGCCTCAGGCTGCATGTGCCAGACAGGTTGAAATTTTTTTTAATTTTTGAAGTTTTTATTTTGTCATAGTTGATGCTGCAGTATTGGGTTGGTCTCTGATGTACCGCATCGTGAGTATTTTTAAAGTTATACTCCACTTAAAGTTTTTTTTCGCAAAATAATAGCTGTGTTTCCTGTGTGGTTCAGTGCACCCTTGTTGCTCATTTGCTTTATGCGTAGACGCTTGTGTCTCTGAGGTGCTGAGCAATTGACCCTGGTTATTTTGGACAAGTGCCAGAGTGGAGGTGGCTGGTCGGGGAGCAGGTGGTATTGAGTGGGTGAGTTCCGAGCTCAGAGAAGGGGAGACCCTGTGAGTGAGGTTTCCCAGGGACCTGCCAGGCAGGCCACGTGATGGCAGTTACGTGGGGACGCAGCCCTCCTTTCCGCCCCCTCGGTGGGAGATGGACTTAGCACAGAGTGCCGCGCGCTGGAGAGCAGGGTCTGAGAGCTGTGGTGCCGCCTGCCCCTGACACGGTGGGGGTGCTGCCCCGACCTTGAGTGGTGTCGCTGGAGATGGGGGGTGCCTTCTGATCTTAGCTCGCCTCGAAGGAACTGGTAACTGTTCACAGTGTAGCTGTCTTAACATAAGATCTGCTTCTGATGATCAAAGCTCCCTGCATGTTAACTGTCAAACACGAAACCCACACAGAAAAACGATACAAGCTTTTTAGGGAACAGCTGTTAAAGAAGGAATATTTCCCCTAACTGTCATATGAACTTGTAGTTTTCTGATGTTCATTTCTGTAAAAGAAGAGCCTGGCTGTGAATTTTTAAAAGCACTTGTTAGTAAAATATGTATAGTAAATTGGTGGCAAAGGACTTTAAACTTGGTGGTTAATTTTGCTCTCTTCCCCCTTTTCAGGTGGACGCACGGAGCATACCAGTGTTAGCAAAATGGCAAAACTCATATAGCATTAAAGTTGTACTTCAAGAGCTAAGACGTCTCATGATGTCCAAGGAAAATATGAAGCTTCCGCAACCACCAGAAGGACAGACGTACAACAATTAATTCTAGTGGATCTCAAACTTGTCTTAAATCAGCAGCCTCTACTCATGTTAATGTCTTGATCGAATATCACCATGCAGAACACCCACACATTAAGTCAGACAGTTCCAGCTGGCGACCACGACCTGGACGTTTGTAGGAATGTATCTAACATGTGTACACCCGTTATGTTTTCAGGCACAGGAGGAAGACGCCGCACACCTTCTGTCTTGTTCGGGCTCTGTCTTTCAAGCGTAGGCCTGGAGCGCTCAGAGAAGGACTCAGGTGAGAGCCTGGCAGGCAGTGTCCAAGCTGTGGCAGCGCGTGCTCCTGAGAGTGAAGGTCTCGGGAAGGAGGACCCCAGGTGGCGTGCTTTGTCCGTCTTGCTTAGTGAGAAAGCTTCGTTGAAACTGTCTGAAGTAGCAGGACAATGAATGTTGTCCCAGACTGTGTTAAGTTTTGAAGCGGTGTGGGTGCTGACTGCTAGTAGTATCGGAAATATGTTCAGGTTTGTTGTGACACCTGTATTTATAATAAAAACATGCCGTGGGGGAGGTGGGTGAATTTCTGTGGCAAGCTGTTCCCCTGTGCTCCATGTAACAGCCGCGGTAAATACGTGTTTACTGTCTTTGTCGGGCGAACCATGCGTTTGCGTTTAAGTAAAGCCAACGAAGAGGAAATAAGTGTATGGCTATGTGATTCTGAGACCACAGTCAGTCTTAAGTTGTAAATAAAACGTGGAACGTGTCATCGGAAACCGCGCTGTTCCTGTTACATTGACGCGTGTACAGCACCTCCCAGGTAGCAGGAACCGGAGTTCCCACACCTTCCTTCCTTATCTCGGACTGTCTAGTTCTGGGAATTGGGGTTTGCAGAGCATTTCAGAGGACAGATTACTTTGTCTTCTTGTTCGGAGAAGGGGAGTCCCAGGTATCCCGGTTTGAATTTGATGTCACCAGGAATATTATTAAAAAGGTGTTTGAGTTCCAGCAGTTCTTACAGAATCACAGATTGCAGATTATCCAAATGTACATTCTGTTTTTCTTCGTAACGTCTCCCTCCAGCGCTCTCCCTGCCGACTGGGGTTCATTCTGTCCACCCGCTTTTCCTCCACGTTGGCAGGTACATAGTCCACCTGCTCTGCTTTTACCAAAGTGACTCGAGGCTTCTGGTCCGTGTTTTCCTCTCAGAGCACTTGGGTGTACTGCTTTGTTGAAACGCTTTTTTCTTATGAATCCACTGAAGAAAATAGAAAGGTGGTCGAGTAACAGGGACAGACTTCTCAAACACACCATGACATGCTTTTATCAAGTGCGTTCATAGTTAAGGCTCTGAGCTGCTTTTTCTCGGCCAGTGATACCTTCAGGTCGGCAACGTTTTGTCTAAACTTACTGATCTCAACATGGCTTTAATTATCAGAGATGTTAGAAGTGACACATAGAGAATATATACATTAAATTAATGCATGTCTGCTTTATTAAAATAGGTTTGAAATGAACTATTACCTTGGCAAACATTCTTAAAAATTTTAAATGGTTGAATGTTAAGTTGAATTACACCGACATCAAATGTAAGAGTCTGGTGGTCACTGATGAACTAAGTCAGTCTCTAGTACCTTCTCCGCTTTGAGAGCGTGTCTCGTCCCACGTGGGCACTGACCACCGTGTGGAAGCTGCCACATGGCTTCCGGGCTGGGGGCTGGGGGCCTGGGGCTGGTCCTCCCGTTCTGCCTCCTTTCCCCGTGCCCGCTGCTGTGAGGGCTTCCCCCCGCGTATGCTGGCTGAGTCGAGCCCAGGAGGCGTTGTCCTCCTCTGGTCTGGGGACTGTGGGTCTCGCAGACGTCTGCATGCCCGGAGCCAGTGCCCAGGGCGGAGCCCGCCACGCCAGCACAGTCAGGACGCGCTTGGCAGCCTGGGTCGTGCTGGTTGGTTACAGGAGCTACCGGGAAGCCGCTCTTAATGACACTAACTTTTCTAAGACAGCAGTTTTGAAGCAGTTTTTCCTTTGTTTTGTAAAGTGGCTAAGGTTGTAGGCGTGGGTGGTATTAACTTAAATGAACTGTGAAAATGACTTTTGAAATTTGTTTGAGAGGCCCCGGCACGTAGGACTCTAGGAGATGATCCTGTGTTAATAAAGGTCATGGAGGTAAACCACTTGTCCTGCTGGATCAGTGCTGTGCTTCGCTGGTTTTAATTACTGACTTTCAGAATTGCTCATTTGAAAAAATATTGTTACTATTTTAAAGTGATGGTGTTTGTTGTTCTAGGTTTATATGTGACTTTCCAGGAGTTTGGAACTTAAACATTTGTAAGGAGAGTTGATGGTATTTGAGTCTTTGGGGTGTAAAACAGAACAAAATTTGTAATTTTTTTTTGCTTTTTTTATTGAGTTATAGTCATTTTACAATGTTGTATCAAACAAAATTTGTAATTTTAAATTGTCTTTTGAAAAGAATTTATCACACTTCAAATTTGAGTAAGTGCTTGGAATGTGATTTAATTTGATTTGCACATGGTTTATTGGTCTGGATTACTTAATACCAATTTGTTGATTTAAATACTTCCCACTAAGTATGTATTATTACTGATAAATACATATGAAATTTATATTGTTTTGAAAATTTAGAGGACGCGCTGGAGAATATTCATGCATTTTCCTTAACAAATTTGGTGTGTCATGGCTTTGGGTAGTTCTGGAAGGTGCATCATGAAATTGTAGACTTTGGTCAAAACTATGTTAGCTCTTTTAATGAGCACATGACTATGTTCTTATGTACATTGTGAAGAATGTGAGTGCTAATGGTAAAGTCTTCTATCATGAGTAATAGGATTTGGGGTTATGTAAGGGGTTGCCCCCCAGGATTCCCCCAGGATCCAAAAGACACTGCTTTCACTCTTCTTGTAAGTATCAGTGTGATTTTCCAATACCAACTTGATTGGCTTTTGGTTATTTTCACAAAAAGGGTCCAAATCCTAAGGTTTTTGGAAAGTGTGTATATTCTGTGTATAAAATAGAAACATTATGAAGAGCAGTGGCTTTGGGGTGTTACAGCCTTGAACAGGAGTGTTAGCGGTTAATTCCCACCCAGCACTGTGTTCAGTAAAAGTCAGGAAATGCATGCAGGTAGATGATCTTTTATGCTAAGACTGATAGGCCTCGTTGGAGTCACTAAACAGCAGGTGGGGATCTTGCCATAGGTCACGCTGAAGATGCTGCTTATTTACAGAGGAGAGTGGGGCACTGACAGAGGTTCACCGTGCGCGTTTTCTGAAGAGAAAATTAATGGAGGTTTTTGATGACACAGAAAATAAGTGATAAGTCAAAACCATCATTTTGTGAAGTAAGGGAGTTTAAGGAACTCGTGGAGTGAGTACATGATTGAAGAAATGACTGGATATGAAGAGGTTGCCATGGTGTTCACATCTGTAGTGGGACATTCTCACCTAAAAAAATTCCCAAAGTTCTGCTCCATTTCATTTTTACTTGTAAAACATCAACACGAGACTTTTCCTGCAAGTTCATTCATGAAATCAGTGATGAAAGCCAGACAGAGCTCAGTTTCCTGACCCTGTCCAGTGAGTAGCTGACCAAATGCCACGTGAGGTCGGGCAGTGACCCCTTTGCTCCACGTGTAGACTCACCATGTCATTCTTTTGTCTTCTCCTTGTTCGGGGACAAGCAGCTACTTCCCTTTGTCTGAGATTCTGGTGGCCAAAATTGCACAGAATGAAGTTAATACTACACCTTCAGAGGAAGACTGGGAGCTGGCATCGAGAAGCCGGCGGTAGTGAGGGTCCTGGGTCAGCAAAGCAGCAAATCCTTGAGCTGACGGAGAGTGGCAGCTTCCCTCGCCCGGTGTGGTGGCCGCGCGGTGGGAGTGCTGCTCGGAGACGACGGGCAGTGTCTCTTCCTTCCTCTAACCCAGCGGGAAAACAGGCTTTAACAATAGGTAACTGTACAGAGTAATCTGGGAAGTGTGCAGTGTAATGGAAAGAGATATTGACAGGACACCCTCGTTAAAATGTAGTAAAACTAGTCGCAATACTTAATGCCGTGTTTCGGGGTCCAAGGACTCATCCTTCTGCGGTCAGCAAGCATGGTAATTGCGGATGCTTTATTACACAGAGGTGCGGCTTTACAGCCTTGGTGGTTTGTCGGCCCTTGGTTTGAGGGGAAAAAGTAGGTCTTCCTCTCGGCTGACACCTGACAAAGAGGAACGTATTGCCTGCTGCTCTCCAGCCACGTTGTCCGAGTAAGCCCTGGTTGTCAGGCGTCCAGGCTGCAGCCACTCTCATGAACTGTCTTTGTGCCACTGTGATTAAACCCGGATAAATGTAATGGCTGTGTGGTCAAATTTAAAAGTGGACGATAAGCTTAAAAATTAATTTTAATACTCAAGTGAAGATAATTGAGTTCACAAGAAAAGCAAACTCTAATTGCCTGGATATCCTGATCTTGAGTAACGTATAGACTTCTTTAAGGAGAAAAATAATTCTTTTGGACTCAGTATTGTCTTGAATTATTTTTGTTGAATATTGTTTAATTCATAGAACTCTGTTAATGCAAATGTATAAACTTCTTAGTCCTTATAAAATTATGAAACAAGTTAACACAATTGCACAGTAATTAAACTAATTTAATATTGAGAATGTTTTACTGAATTAATCTCTGCTTGAAATGTAAATACTGTCTCTTCTTAGCTTTTTTGTTGTTGTTGTTACTGACTGTACTGTGGTGTGCTGCTGGGCCGAAAATTTTTCTTACCTTTTTTCTCTTGCCAGACTGCTACAAGAAATCTTTGCTGTGTTCTCTGACCTTCATGTGGTGTGAGTGCAAGTCTGCGTTGAGCCCACCTCCGTTCTGTTAACCAGAGAGCTAAGATTCCTGAGTGTTGTGCGTCCACTTTGAGACCGCTTTGTCTTAAGCCCTTGATTCTGAAGGGTTAGTGGCGTTCGCTTGGCTGCGGTTGTACAGGAGCGAAATGGCCTATGATTGGTGATATTAATAACGTCTTCAATCTGGTGACACATTTAATCAGTGGTGTCTGAAGGCTGAGTGGGGTGGGTCCTCAGGTTTGGTGGTTAGAGGTGCTGGATGTGGTGACTGTCTACAAAGTGGCCCTCCTCTGCTTGCAGCTGCCCACCCACCCCGGTGACCCCTCACCTGTGACCTCTGCATTTCCCTTTCCGTCAGCCTGTGGCCCCCTCTGTTCTTACGACCAGCCTGTCCTGTTCCTGCCGTGCGGGGCCTTCCTTTCAGCCCTTCCCCACCACCCCGTCCCGGGTGTGGCCCCTTGTCCTCTCCCTCTGTTGTCAGCCCCAGCCACGAGTTCGGAGGGTACTCCTGAGAGGAGGCCGGGACCGTTTGCTGTGCAGAGACTCCCCCTGCTGTGCCCTCTGGCCACCACCTGTTTCCTCTGCTCCCTTTTCCACGCTCTGATCTGCAGGTCTGTCCCTCACCCTTGACACAGGGTCCTGGCTTTACTGGCCTCTGAGAGTTGACGTCCAGGCCACCCAGTGGGGTGGTGGTGACCATCACAGTAATAAAGCTGTTATGTTATTTATAAATGTATTCTGATAATTTAATTATATTCTTTGAATTTTTAAAAATATCTGCAAAGTACATTTTTTGAAACTAAAAATCAAAAATTGGATGTTTCTTTATTTGAGCTATTTAAGATTATTAGAAATACCATTTTTGGAAAACAATGTATTTGGCTACAAAGAAATGTTAGAATCATTTGTTTGGGTTAAGAATTATTGAAACTATGACTGCCAGAAACTAGGTAGCTCTTTATGTGACACAGACTACTGATTTCTGTTGTGCAGACAGATTGAGATGTGTTTTCCAGGATGTGTCTCCCTGTGTTAAGTCCTTGTGAACGGCTGCTGACTTAGGATCAAGCATACACAGTGCTGTGGCGGCTGCAGGTTGGTGTTGGGTGTGATCAGCTCTTGGTTATCGTGGGGACGGCCATGCCTGGGGACCTCCTCTGGCTCCCCTCCCTGACAGCCCCCGAGCCGGTACAGCGGGCTCTGAGCCAGACAGGATGGAGGAGGGGTCCACGAGGGGCAGTGAGGGGGCTGGTGCCAGTCCCGGGGCTCTGCCTGGTCGCTTTGGGCCACTTGGCCCTGTACCCACCCTCCCTCCCTTCTGAAGTGGCCCTGTAGAGTGTGGTTTCATGAACTGTTGTGAATGGTTTTAATCACAGTCTGATGCAGAATGATGAGTAGACAGCAGCGTTTACAAGTATAAACCCAAGAACATTCCGTCTTAAATTACATTAAGACACGCATCTGCATCAGGCCCACACTCCGGGGTGAAGGGTGGGCTGACTGCAAGAGGTTACGTGAGGTTGTGTGGGCCACGTGAGCGCTGGTGCACCCCAGACCAAGTTAACTTTTGCGGGTGGGTGAAGCCAGACAGGTGGGCTTCTGGGGGCCCGCGAGTCCTGTGTGCCTGGCACACCGCCCTTACCCGCCCCACCTGGGGCAGAGGCCCTGCTGGAGGCTCCAGCGACAGGTCTTCAGGGTGAAGTCCCTTGGAAAGGGGTAACTTGTACTGCAAAAGAAAGCTACGAAGCTTGTGTTTGTTTCGACGACATCGCAGTGTAAAACCTCACACGTGCAGCCTGTGTGGGGTTAATGTGTGCTGAGGAACGTGCTAAGCTGGGGAAGGAGATGACATGTGAAGTTTGGCCCCACCCCCACCCCCACCGATCTTTCTCTCCTGAGTGTAGTCACAGTGAAGTCACCTGAGTTCTGACCCCACCCCCACCCCCAGAGTACATCTGCAGTAGGAGTTTCCAGTCTTGGTAAATGTCTGTGTGGTGCTTACAGGAGAATCTTCCTCACCCTTGCCTTCTGGACAGATGGGGACCTCAGTAAATGTTCATCCAATTGGTTTTTGTCTGTCAGAGTTAAAATGTGGGTTAAGTTAACAATATTTGCTGATAATTCCCCTGCTGAGTTCTCAACGACTGGTTTTGAATACTGATCTCACCACTGACAGTTGTGAGATTTTGGTCACTTGGCTTCATTTGGTTAGTTGTCATTCACTCATAAACTTAGTAGAAGTGTATGAGGTCCCTGCAGGCCACCAGGAGTGCGTTCTCACAGTCCCCCGCCGGGGCTTAGACGAAGGCAGGTGGCGGCGCTCCGGGAGCACCTGCCCTCCTGGGACTAAGTTTCTGAGGCTCTTGAACAGCTACAAGTGTGTGGCGTGTCTGTTACACGGAAGGTCAGCCGCACTTAAGTACTGCTTTGCTCCTCCTCCTGGTGTTTGGTGACCTGTAATTATTGAAGAATTTCACTGTCATTAACAAAAAAATCTGTAAGGCTCGGCCAGCCCGCGTATTCTCTGGAGCAGTCTCCTCTCCCACGGGAAGAGGAGGCTGGAGTCGGCTCTCCAGCTCTGTGATTTCTGGCTGTTCACCGTGTCCTGAGTGGCACTGAGTGCTTCGTGGCGCTGCTGGTCCCGTGGGGCACGGAAGGGCCGTGTCCCTGGTGTGCGTGGACGCTGTGTCCTTAGGGCTCAGTGCAGGGGGCAGACCCGGTGCGGCTCAGGCCCAGATGTGAAGCCAGTAGGTGTGGGGCGGGCCCTGGGACTCTGTCTAGCCAGCCCTCATGCTGCTCCTGGTTGTGGCCACACTTGGAGTGAAGGAGCAGTGTTTGGGGGTGGTGATGGGAGTGTACCTGTTGTGGAGCACGCTGTTGAGTGGGGGGCTCAGAGCGTGTTTCTGGTGCGTGGGCTCATCGGCGTCCTGCCCTGTGCAGAGGGGCCCGTGCGAGCCCACACCCTCTTCCCACATTCTCCCTTCTGCCCCCTCTTCCTGCCCTATTTTTGAGATCCACCGTCAGCGTGTGTATGTGCATGTTTGCGCATGTGTGTGTGGAGGGGTCACTCCACCCCAGCTCCCACCGCTAACGTTGCCATGTCAGGAAGGTTCCTTCCCTCCCCGATGTCCCCGCGTAAGCTCTGCCCTCCGCTCGGCGGTGCAGACGGCGGGGCGCCCACGTGGTGTGTTTGCAGAACCCCGCTGATTGGACAGGCCTTCTGAGCACGCCTCACAGGCTCCAGACCTTCACCCGTCAGCCATGGTTCTCTCTCCTCCTCGCCGCTGTCCCAAACTCGTGCAGAACAAGCGAGGTTTCTTTCAGGTAGGTTTTATGCCCCAGACGGTCCTCTGGTCTGTTAAAGCCAAGTTCAGATCTCACCTCCTCGGTTAATTCACTCTCACACTAACGTCTTCCTCCCCGGTGTCTTCCTGGAGGGACAGCCACGAGACCTGAGCGTGGGCTGCCCCGTCACGCCCGCCGCCCAGGGTTGGGGTGACCGCCACGCCAGGGCCCAGGGTGAGAAGCCACCTGTGGGGCGCACGGTGGGGAGGGCTGAGCCTGTCCCTGCCGCAGCCAGCGAGGGGTTGGGGTTTTCTTCACCTCAGTGTATTTCTTTTTTAAAAAAAATTTCTTGGGGGGGATTAAATGTTTTTAAATGACCAAGGCAAGTCAATATGTACTAGTACGAATAGATACATGGCAGATACTTGTACTTTACTGTGTAGTTAAGTGTGACTGTGAGGCTGTCTGCAGTGTTGGCTACTGAACGGTTTGTTTTCATTCCCTTTTCTCTAGTTTGAACTTCACGTATGTTTGGGGTTGAGTAGAAAGCCTGTTAAGGCATCTCAAGCACCACAGACGTTTCTTTCTGAAGTTACATTGTTATTTTATCTGAGACCTTTGTTTGTTTGGGTGAATAAGACTGTTCTATAATTCTGAGACCTTTTTTTTTGGAAAAAAAATTCCTTATGTAATAATGATGGCTCTAAATAAGAGCTTGTCCCTGAACTTCAGGATGTGTTACTGGACAAGGGAGCAGTGGGCTGCTTGCCCAGAACCAGCTGTGTCAGGGTGAATCCTGCAGGAGTCAAAGATGGGCCACTTGTGAGTTGTGTAAAGAATGTGTTCATCCTGAGAATTACGCCTGTTGTTACCAAATATGCTTGTTTTCTGAACTGCCTCTAAGAGAAGAGTAAAGGTACAAATAAAAACCCCATGATGACTTCAGAACTTTGGCGTCAGCTCTGTTTCTAAATATTTATGTTTGGCCTGGATTGAAATAGTAATGAGTCATGAATAACCTGAAACAGGTTTTGGAAAGTGATGTGGTGGACGACGGCCGTCTGCCTCTTTCCTTTAGTCTGAGGAGTGGGGCCTGTTCTACCCTCTGGGGGTAGACGTGGGACATCCGAGGGAGAGGAGGTTCCGTGGGCCGTGGTCCCCACCGAGGGCGAGGAGGAGGCCCGACATGAGCCGTGGACAGAGACAGTGAGGGTGGCCTGGCCGGCCCCCTCTGCGCTTTCCCCGGTCATGGGAGGGTCCCTGGGCCTGTACTGACCAGAACAGTGCACTATGAGCTGGGCCAGGTGTTGGTGTTCGTTCAGGCACTCGCTTATGTGGGTGCTGACACGTGGCTCGCGGGCCCACCGCAAGTACAGACTTGACTCTCAGAGGAGCCTGGGGGAAGTTGGACCAATGTGGGACTCGCAGGGGAGGCCAATCCACCTTTGAACTAACTTGGTATGAAACGCTGCCGACCAGGGCTCAGTGGGACCCTCTCCCGTGCCCCGGGTGGTGCTCCCGGGGTGGAGGCCCTTTGCACAAAGCTGTGGGGCTGCTGTGTGCCACCCCAGCCTGGGAGTGCAGGACTGGCGGCCAGGGGGGCCAGGGGCTGAGGTTCCACTGGACCGGCCAGCCTTGTTCAAGTCGAGACGTAAATTACACACCCTAAAACTCACCTTTTAAACTGAGCTTGGAGGAGTGTGCAAACATCAGCACTGTCTAATTCCAGAACATTCCAGAATGATGGGTGCTTGGGCTGGTTCCATGTTTGGCTGTGGTAAGCAATGCTGTTACAAACATTTGCAGGCGAGTTTTACAAGCATGCGTGTCACCCAGGAGCGGAACTGCTGAGTCTTCAGGTAACCATGTTGATCCTTGAGGAGCTGCCTCCTGTTTTCCAGAGTGGCTGCACCATTTTATATCCCTACCAGCAGTGTTCTCCACTGTTGTTTTGTCTTTGATTCTAGCCACCTCTGTGGGTGCCCGAGTGGCTGTGACGGGCACCCTGCCTGCCAGGGCCAGGGGTGCAGCAAGAGCTGGCTTTCAGAGACGAAACTGCCGTCAGAGGCGAGGCCTTGCTCGCAGTACAGGATTCTCCCGGATGGGCGTGCCGTAGGGTCAGTGTCCTCTCTGATGCCACAGGGGTTGTGAGGCCCAGCTGGCTGGGCCGCCCCAGGGGCTCGAGTGGGGAAGCCCTTCCGAGAGGCTGCAGACCAAGGTGAGGGGACCAGGTGCTTGGGTCCCTGCTCCAGCGGCCGCAGCTTGTGGGCTGCACTCGGCGGAGACCTGACGCCAGGAGAGCTGGGCACAGCAGTGGCTGGCGGCCTGTCCCAAGTAGGTCTCATCTGAGCTGTCGGCGGCCCTGGACGCCCTTTGTCTCTCGAGTTTCGATCGCTTTTTCATTGCCGCTGTCTTTAATATTTACACTACGCCGCAGTCACAGCTGGCACGCTTGTTCTCATCTGTGCTCTGTACTTGCCGCTCTCTGTGCGGCAGTTTGTCCTCTGTGTTGGGTTGGCTGCCATTCACCCTTGGTGGTTTTTAAAGATAAACTCGCGGGCAGTAAGGGACTGAGGCATTTCCGTCTTTCGCCTTAGTTCTTAAAAGACAGTTTGGCTGCACGTTAAGTTCTGGGCGCTTCGTTTTTCCTGGTGCAGCCCCTTAGACGCGCGGACCATTGGTGGTGGGGCCGGGGGCTGCCGCATCTGTTACCTGTGGCCCCCACTTGAAGGGATGCAGACCTTTTATCTCGATGGCCCAGGTGCTTTGGAATATGCCTTGGTGTAGAATGCTTTGTGTCAGTTTTCCCTGGGACAGCGGGGGTCCTCTTCAATCTGTAGATTTGTTTCTTTTATTTTTGGAAAGCTTTTTTGAATTATACCTTTAAATATTTAGTTTGTCCTTTGTTTTTGTTTTCCTTTTATGTGTAACTGGGGCTCCCCCTGCCGTTTTTCCATAGCAGTTCCTTCCTTCCTGATCCTCTTAACATCTTTCATTTCTCCCTTTTCTTGGTTCTCTGATTCTGCTCCTCTGTGTGTCTCGCTGGGTCTTGACAATGCATAATATCATTTGTGTTGCTGTCAACTTTGCTTTCATTTTTGTGATTTTTTTCCCTTCCAGTTCTTTTCTGAGGTCTGCCAGCTCATTAAAAAAAAAAAGTCTCTTTCTCGTCAAATAGTTCCTGTATAACTTGTATTTCTGCTTTGTAGTGGTTTGAATTTTCTGAATAATATATTGGCAGTTGCTTCAAAAACATGAAAAACTTTAAGATGAAATACTTGTTCATAATTCTCATTTGTTCTGATACAGGATGCATGCTGTAAGTGAAGGTAAACACTACAAGTAGACAGCATATAATTTCTTGTCTAATGGAGAGGAGAAATGGGATAATAAAAAAAAACCCAAAAGAAGGCAAGAAAGGAGGGGGGAGAAATATGGAATAGATAACAGAAGGAGCTTAGTAAGATGGTAGACCAGTTATAAAATTATAAGAGAATATTATGAATATGATAATTTAGGTGAAATTAACATAGTTCCAAAAATTGTCGATAAAATTGTAGCAAATAGACTCCACCAGGGGGAGGTATAGCTCAGGGGCAGAGTGCCTGCCTAGCATTCACAGGGTCCTGGGTTCAGTCCCCAGCACCTCCATTACAATGAATAAATAAAAACCTAATTCCTAATTACCTGCCCCCTAAAAAATAATTTAAATTAAAAAAAATAGAATCCACCAGCGTATAAAAAGGATAGCACAGCATGACCATCCTTGGATTGCAAGTTGGTTTACTGTCTAGAAAGATGATGTATTTCACAACGTAACAGACTAAAATAGAAACAGTTATTTCAATATGTGTAGAAAAAGCATTTCAAAAATTTGACACCTATTCCTTATATAAAACTCAGCAATCTAGGAACTTTCTCTACCCAAGGAAGCCAGCATACTTAATGGTAGACGTCTGAATGTTTTCCCCCAAGGCTGGGAGGAAGTCAGAGATGACACTCTCACCACTTGTGTTCAATGCTGTGTTGGAGGTTCCGGCCAGCACACCAAGGCAAAACAAAAACAAACACCAACCAAAAACAAAGTCAACAAAAATACAAAGTCATCCATATTGGAAAGAAGGAAGTAGACCTACCTTTGCTTGCAGAAGACGTCACTGTATAGAAAATCTGATGACATTAATAAAAAATGTGAGAATGGATACATGTGCTGTGCAATGTTTCAGGGTACAAGATCAATAACAAAAGGTTGTGTTTCTCTGTTTTATGTGTATATTATATATCCAACTGCTGCTAGAAATCATAAATTGACATTGTTTATAATAAAATCTTACAATATTGAGGGTACAATGGGAACTACTAAGTATTATGGAGAAGTCTAGATATAAACAGATGCTGTGTTAGTAAGGCTCCTGCAGAGAAACAGACGCAGATTGTACACACACAAACGTTTATCACAAGGAATTGCCTCATGTACTCTCTGCGGCCAGAGCCCGAGGTCTGCAGGACAGGTCAGCAAGCAGGAGGCCCCCAGGGGCCCGTGATGTTGCTTTAATCCGGAGGCCGGCAGGCTTGAGATCCAGGATCAGGTGAGCCTTCAGTTTGAGTCTGAAGGCAGGAAAACACCTGTTTCCCAGCTCGATGGCTCACACAGGAGGAATCCTATCTTGGACAAGAGTCAGCCTTGTTTTATTCAGCTGATTGGATGAGATGCACCCACATTAGGGAGCAGTCTGCTTTACTTAAGTCAGATGTTAACCTCACCCAGAGACTCCTTTACAGACACACCCAGGATAGTGTCTGACCAAGTGTCTGGGCAGCTCATGGCTCCATCATATGTACCATGGTCATGAATCAAAGACTCACGGCTGTCAGCATACTGGTTTTCTGCAAATTGATTTGTGGATTCTACACAGTCCCAGTTGAGATCCCAGTAGGCTTTTTGCATAGAATTTGAGAAGCTAATTTGAAAATTCATGTAGAAATGCAATGGACTTGGAATATTTAAAACAACCTTGAGAAAGAACAAAACTGGAGAACTTAACGATGCCTGACTTCATTGGAATCAATAGACAGACCAGATCAGTGGAGGAGAATGGAGAGTCCAAGATAGACTCAAATATTGATTTTTGACAAGTGCAAAAGCAATTCACTGGAGGCAGAATAATCTTTTCAACAAATGGTCTGGGACAATTGGATATCGTTATGCAAAACTGCAGCCCATACCTCACACCATATAAAAATGTTAATTCAAAATGGATTATAAACTGAAATGTAAAACCTATTAAACTTTTGGAAGAAAAAAAGATAAAATATTAAATTTTTGAAGGGGTTAGACAAGGTTTCTTGGATAACAAACCAAAAGCAGTGTTCATAGAACAAAAACTCATAAATTGAACTTGACTGAAATAAACAACTTCGGTTCTATAGAAGATTCTGTTAGAGAATAAAAAGACCAGCCGCAGACTGGAAGAAGATATCTGCAAATCACATACCTAATTATGGTCCTGCAAGGACGTCTCTCTCTTTGTCCCTAGACTTGTAAGTGTCTCAGGTCACATGGTAAGGGGGAGTCAGGTTGCAGGTGGGATGAAGGTTGCTGATCAGATGACCTTGACATAAGGCTATCCAGGTGGCCCAGTGTGATCACAGGGGGACTTAAACGGGGACAAGGGAGGCAGAGTGCTGTGATGTGAGGAAGGGCTGTGACTGGAGGAGTGTGGTCACCACCGGAAGCTGGAAAAAGTATGAAGATAGATTCGCCCCTAGAGCCTGCAGAAAGCCGTAATTAAGCCCTTCCCAAATTTTAGCCAAACAATGAGACATTTCAGGCTTCTAGCCTACAGAAATGTAAGATAATAAATATGTGTGTTTTAAGCCCCGAGGTTTGTGGTGGTTTGTTTTGACAGCAGTGGGAAACTAAGATACTGAAAGAAATCTTTAGT